TGTACAAGAGATGGCGCTAGCTGTTGGTTTGTGTGCCTATTAGGTTAGCGTTGGTGTTCGCTTTACTGGTTTTACTGTTCGTTGTAGCTGCGGTGAAACGCGCGATCGCGTCGTTAAATCGTAGAGTGAAATTTCTATTCGCGGCTGTTGTGAAAGCTATGACTAGTTCTGATCTTTCACTTCTTGGTCAAGAAGCCGGTAAAGTGGCTGTCACTTGCACAGTTTTGTATCACTTTTAGGGATGCATTTCGACTACAGTATTCACGTCAGCTCACTCTATGTTCCTCAGACACGGCCTGCAACGTAAGCAAGTACCCTCCCCGTAGACTACTACAGGTACGTGGACGACGATGAAACTTTCTACACCTGTTCTAGACAGTGCGTTTGAATTTCAGTCTAAGCTGCCGCAGCCTAAGAAAACAAAGCAGGTGTCCTGTGAGCAAACCAGGTTAGTGTTGCCTTGATAACGTTTCTCAGGTTTGACTGAAGCTTGAATACTTAATTGAAAAATTAAATCATTCGCGCCATTGATCAAATTGCGAAATACCGGATGGGTTATTTTGATATAATGCAATATTGCGCCTCTAACGCCGAGCTCCTGTGGCCTAATGGATAAGGCGTTGGTCTCCGGAACCAAAGATTGTGGGTTCAAGTCCCACCAGGGGCGTAAGTCGTGGTTACTCTTTTTTTGTTTATTTTTGTAAAATGCAATATTCTTTACTCGTTTTTAGTTGCTTTTGCATCTGTGTTTTATTGCAGTTGATAACTTTATTGTTAACCTACAAATAATTACTGACGCAACCATTAATTTGCACTTCGTGCTGATAAGGTTTTAAGTGAGACATTAACGTTGGTTCATCCGACTTTAAAATGGACGTGACTGTAAGTAGTGGATGTGCAGTTGTGAGGAGTATCGGTTAGTGGTTTTTGTGACAAAGCCACCGCGTGCAGGCCAAGAAAAAAAACTTATTTATTGCACTTTCGTACAAAGAATCATTTTACTTATACCAGCATATTTTGGTAGGTATGCCTCCAACTGTTGAGTATTTCTCAGTAAAAAAGAAAGAAAGAAAGAAAAGAAAATTCTCAGTAAAAAAGAAAGAAAGAAAGAAAAAACTTGAAGGGTCCAATGACATTGTAATCATCTAAAAATTCACAATATCACCTAAGGCATAATCGACTTAGAACATGTTCCGAACTCAATATGGCACTCAAACATTCGCCTACTTCATACCACATTCTCTAAATAATACTCAAGAAATCGCTGAAGAGGGCGTGGCTCGGGATCGCAGTTTTGCATACAGCCTCAGAAAAAGGGCCAACTATTACCTTTTGGCTACCTTATGCATTGTTTTCTCATGTTCCTGATGATGTTTAGTGCTACTATACTTGCTTTTTATTTCTTTCCTATTGTATACTACTTCTGTCGCTTGACTAGCATTATAAGTTTTTAAAATATATGCTTGTTGCACATTGTCATTGTATGTATAAAAAACGTAACTGTCTTACTTTTTGTATATTTGATGGCTTTGTGCGGTTCTCCACTCTCAAGCAATGTAACCATAAGGGATGCTTCGTCAGGCAGTCGCATCTTCCCCTTCATCCCAGACAACTGTCTAAATAAAATTTACATTCAAAGCCACTGTTGCTCTTTCACTTCACATCCGCAAACATAAACTAGGTTTTCCATGCATCTTGTACCAGTGTATTGTCAGAGCAATCACGGAAAATTGAAGAATATGCCTGTGTGTCACTGCGTTTCAATCCAGCTGCACTGAAGAATGAATTGCAATTACACGAGTCACTCTCAATGAGAAATTTCTCGTGAATCTTATTATGAACTCTATAATTTACCAGCTTCTCTGTTAACTTCTCCAATGGCAGCGCTTGTGTTTTGCGGGGCTGTGTCAGAACACTACTTTCAGTGTAAACTCAGTTGACTCAGAATTGGCTTAGACAGTTAGTAATCTTTATTCACGAGTATCAGAAGTACCATAATGCCTTCCCAACTATGTTGTCATTGCTCTTATAAACAGTTTACAAGTGTCATGATATACACATTTATTTCACATAAACACAACTGTTTTATTGAGATATATACACATGTTTGTCCATTGAGGCATGTAAACATGTTGATGAATTCCAGAACACTGGATGGCTGCACTAGCTTGCAAAATATATTGCATAACACCGATTTTCACAATGCATTGTATGTGCATCCAGTGGACGTCATATCATGACAAGTGGAAGATACCTAAATTTTTTTTTCACAATGACAAAATGTGGTCGGTTGTAACTTGCATACTAGTCTAAGCAACATATTTTCCACTGTGCATGTTTACGTTATGCCATGATATGGTATCCTCATGTGTAGAAACAAAATAACTATTTTAAGTCAAAAACACTCTGATAACTTCAGGCACCGCTGTTGTCAATAAGGAAAGTGAATGGAGTGGTGTTAGGAATGAGCTTGATATTTTGAGTAGTATTTGTAACCATTGGGGATAAGCTGTGCTTGTAAGAGTGTATGTAAAAAGACCTCAAAAGCAACTGTAATTCCCTGTGATGTTGTTTGTACCCATTGCTGAAAACTTTCAGTTACTTTTATTTATTTATTTATTTTTTCAACATACATAACAGGCTCCTCTTGGAGCATAGGGTAAGGGCGGGACATATAAGGGGGAAAAAAAAGAAGAATGAGAACATATACACTTGAACTATACAAATTAGGTACAACTTAACGATGGCAATGTTAACTAAGACATTGATTACAGAGAAAATGTCAAACAAATGCACATCTTATGTAAATGGCCATGAAGTGATTCTAGGTGTAGTGAGAGTTTAGTTGCTCTTGGAACACCTTGCTGTTAGTCACTGAAACTATCGCATCAAGAAGATCATTCCACAGTGAAATTGCCTGTGGCAAAGCGGATAGGTTAAATGTGTGTGTTCTGCCAAAAAGAAGCATATAGCTGTGCTGATTTTGTGTACGTGCTGTCCTGCGATTCGGTGTGTGCAGAGAGAAAGGAGATGCCTTTATACAATGGATATACTTGTGAAACAACACAGGCTGGGCTATCTTGCAGCAAATTTCTAATGACTGTAACTCGATATCATGTTTTATTTGAGTAATACTGCTATGACTATGGTAGTTCTGAGTGATGAAGTGGGCTGCTCTGTTTGAATGGCTTCGAACATCTGTGTTAAATAGAGTTGGTGTTCTAAAAAAAGTTAACAAATCAAACAATACAAATTAAAAAGAGGTGCATCAGAGTTGCTTAGATTGCAGAAGCCAAACAAGTTCTTGCCTGTATTTTTAAACAATACACAGTCACCCTTCGATTGAGTAAAACAAATATATGTGAGAATTCTATATAAAACAAATAATTTAATATTTGATAACATCTCCTAGCTACTTGACTTTGTGTCTACTTTCAGAGTAAGGTAGACTCTCAGTAAAGGGAGACCTGTTAAATGGAAATGCCACCTAAATGGAGTAACTTCTCCTGACAAGATTTATTTCATTGTTGCGTTCTGCATCCCTGGCCATCTCTCGGTAAACAGAACTCCTGTTAAGCGAAACGTGTTTTCCTGGTCTCTTCAGGTCCCATTTCACGAGAGCATACTGTATAATTTTAATGCAAACTAACAGACAATGATGCCAAGGAAAGTATAGGAGATGTTATACGATGTAATTGTAATGTCAATGTGAAGAAAGAAAAGAGGAGAAAAAGATGGCTTGCCGACGGCAGAGATCGAACATGCGACTATGTGAAGCCATCAGTTTTACATGAGAAGATTGTGAATTCTCAGGACAGTAAGTATTCTTTTATTTCTTAGTTGCTTCTCTTCTCTACACTCAACTGTTGCTAGTATTACCATTTTTTTTATTTTATCACTGTTATGCTCCTATTATTCTTTTAAGATTTGTGAATGCCTGTCACAGCGCGATGCATTTTCTGTTGTAAAGCAGAACATTATGTATCTGATTTTCAATAAGTAAAACTCTTATTCAGCTGGGATAAGATAAAAAAATTGTATGTTGGATCTTCGCACCTGTACATATAAACTGATTTCTTACAGAGTTGTATTTCTTATTTTTTTGGAACGGAAACAGCTTTTGAGTTAACTAGAGCTGGAAATGCCTTCTATTCACTATCACCTCCATTTTACTCATTTTCCTGCACTTTGCTTGAAACCACAATAAATTTTGCTCATCTTTCTTTGCTGTCTTAATCTTATGGCTTCATGTTTTTGCAGTTAAAGATCAGAGCTTGTCAATTTGCCTTATTTTTTAGCCACAAATTATTATGTCCAACAACTACGTTCCCATTTGCTAAAAAAGTTGATAAAAATGACCACAGTAACTATTACTTGTGCCATGCCAAGGATGGCTCATTGATGTTGCAGTTTTGATTATTTCTTTCTGTTACTTGTAGATAACCGCACAATGACATTTGCTTGCCTTTCAAGCAGAACAGTTTTCTGCAATGATTTCCCTATTTAATGTGGAACACTTTAAGTAACCGTGTTGTACGACGTGCAGTTTCAAGGCATGTAGGCATGTGTCGTGGAACAATGACATGTCAAGTGGAAATCAATACATGGAAAGCTATTGGAGCTGTAGTAAGAAACTGTAGTAAAGAAACAAAAGCAGGAAATCAATACTTTGTTGTTACACTGAACAGCAAAAGTTTTTGGGACACATAATGTTCGAGATAGCTCAATTCCCCCTTTGTATCGGAACGCAACCTCCAAATAAATGTTCCATGCTGCGCTTGGCATTGAAAGCTGTACCGGTGCCAACTTGATCATGAGCACTGCGCTCTGATACTATAGCATGCATCTACATTCATCTTGGATCAAATGTCTGGCAAACTTTTGTTGTTTGTTGTAGATACTGTACTTACTGTCCCTTAGCAGCTCATTTGATATTCCAGCAACAGCCTCTATGATTGTTTGCTGCTCACGCATTGTTTAATATAAGACCACACAGCACGTGTCACTGGACATCAACCTTTATTAATACACAATGAAATTACAGGGAATATGTCATGCCTTGGAACTTGCAATACAAACAGTGCAAATGAACATGCTCTTTAATTTCACGAGGAGGAAGAACTTCCCCATAAGAACAGCGAATACGCATTCACAACAAATGCAATCGAGTTGGTATTTATAGTAATTGTACTATCGCACAATCGATTGGCTTAAGAAATCACACCTACATGGTGAAACTGTGCGGACGTGCGGGCTAACCTTGTCAGCTCTGAAGTAACAAGCAACACTTGTTTTTCACTAACCATCATGTGTACACTACTTCGGCGTAGAGTAAAATAGTGTTCATGAACAGTGCCACAAAACATTACTTCTTGAAAACTATATGTATATTTAGCTTTCTCTTCATGCTTTTATGATGCATTTATAAGATGCATTTTAACTATTTTAAATGGACACATTGCATTTCTTTACAAACGGTGAAACAGCTGCTAACTTTGCCAGTTCGTGGCTACAATTTCACACACCTACAGATATGGAAGGAATTTTTAACAAAAAAATGTTGCTTTTTTTGTCAATTGTACTAGGACACACTCCATGTGCGAAGTACCAGCACATGACACCCATGCCACACAGGCAAACATAATGGCAGTAAAGCTTACAGTTCAAATGCCACCTTGATTGTATTGCCATTAAATATTAATCAGCTAATGAGCTTTTGCAGCACATACATAGTGCTGACCCAATGAGCTATGTGGTATTGTCCCGAGTAGGCCCTGCATAAAAATGAAGTATTAAATTACAGTAAATTAATTGTTGGTGCCTTTGTGGTATCATCTGCAAAATCAGTTATATTAACGTGACCAATGCCATTATTTTTACCAGCACGGCATGGGCATAATGCCTCTGTTTACAACATGTTGGTCAAGCTGCAATCTAAATTTTTCTGAAAAAATAAATCTCCTTGCATATATCTTTTCACTAAACTTCATAACCATCAACTTGTGTTTGCTAACCAAAAATAAACATTCTGAATAATGGCACTCCAGACAACAGCACCTTGTGTTTTCACTACCAATACATTTTGCATTTTGTAGTATAATGTGCTCAGCATAGCGAATATTCACACAAATGTTGTGCTTATGTAACTCGCTTGGCATATCGAGTTTGCTTATAAGCTATGATCTGAGAATGATTATTCAAGCAACAACAGAAATACTAAATCTCTTAATTTTTTAGAATTCAATAGCACAATCTTCATTTACTAGCTGCTTTAGAAAGATAAGCACCACAGCCTTTGCTGACTTTTCCACACAACGCAAAATCTTAGAAGCATGCATGGTCTTTCATGGAAAACGATAAGGTTTCCCAGAACAACTCTGTTTAATTATATAATGCAGCTTCCGTTTTTTCTTTGAAGGTTTTCACTTGCAGTAGTCAAATCCAACAGTATTAGTTTACAAGACCAACTCTTAGCAATACTTTCATTAGTTATTCACATATTTGTCAGCAGTCAATTGACAAATATTTGGTCTACAAAAACCACTCATCATTGACCGATGCTTTCCTTAGCTGTCATAATTTTTCATCGCAACAGCAGTGAATTCATCTCTGTGCGCTATTTTTGCTTGCAGATTGGATTATTGGTTCCTGATGATATCCCGAATCATTTGCCCATCCAATGACCTTGCATTTTTCTTCAGAATGGAGTGGATTGTTACAAAGCAGTGTTCAGTGCAGCAAAAATTCATGAACTGAGTGTGGATATAGACATCGAAGGCCACCAATAGTTGAATTTTGCAGAAACACTTGCCAGACATAGTGATTCATTACTGTCTTATCAAAGATTTTACATGAATTGAACAACAAGGATTACATGCAGGCCAGTAGCCTTCAAGCTCTTGATATCTTCGACCTATGGCATTGCAATGTTGTTGCTTACGAACATCACTTGATGGTTCATCTTGCATACACCATAATGTGTTTCAAGTTTTTTCACAGCTATGCATGATGAGTTTCTACAGTTATTTCAATATGCACAAGCACGCATTTCACACTGAAGCTATCTTCAAACGTGCTTGATGAAACTGACGTTTTATGATAAAATGGGAGCAGTGAACCATGGGCAGGGGCAAAGATTTTAGATATTACAGTAAACAGGCTATGGAAACTAGATAGATTACTGATATCTTCAAACAGTTACAGGGCTGATGTATTGTGGAAACGTTCAGTGGGCCATATTTCACATGAAAGTATTTTAACTCTTCATCTTACTGTCATTATCTTTCTATAACTGATCTCGTTGTATGGCTCATACCAGCACGTACTGCTTTGCGCAGTGCAGTAACAGCAAACTAGAATGAACGATGAAAAGTATCCTGAGACTATACAGCTCCTGGCTTAGTTATGCATTTTGAAGCTATCCTGTTCCTATTGCTATGGTCAGCAGAGCTCCACAAGCACCACTCACACGTCGGATGTATTTGCAAACAGCATACAAAGTTACTATTACATTCTTTCTTTGTTTTACCAAAATACTTCGAAGACGTTTGTGTTTACTTTTCTCTCGTCAAGTACATCCAAGGCACTGTCCCTGTCTGATGCATGTAATTCCCTAAGGTATTAACAGGTACATGAATGAGGTATGTACAAATGCAGTATATGTACAGGTGCACGCCCTCTATTCAGAGCTTTTATAGAGCAATGAAGCAAGCTTGCAACAAGACTTCACACGAATGTATACTATATTTAACCCTCATTAAAACAAAGTTGTGTCAGATACGATAATGAGTTTGTTAAATTTGAATATCTGTTGTAAATGTACATTTGTAACACTGTAATAATAGAACCAGTATTCTTTGTTTACTTCATTATATTAATAACTGTTGCATCGAGGTGTGACTCTACTTCATTCATTTGTCACCACGCTTGTTCAAGTGTTAAATCGTTTTCATGGGGCTACAACTATCATTGCAACACTTCGCTAGAGAATCTTGGCATATTAGATTTTAACATTGCAAGCACTGAAGGACCAATTTTTTTTTTTTTAATCCTTTTGCCAAGACGCCTGAGGCAAGTGTTTAACTAATTGAAAAGACGTTGAAGCCAGATTTGAGTGTCTTTCAAAAGTACGTACATATATGAAAAGTTTATTGAAGGCAAGAAAAGTGCCTTCATGTGCCCTATCTCACCGTAAACTTTAATTTAGCATGAGCATGTAAAATACATGCGGAGCAAATGTTTTTGTGCAGCACCATGTAAAAGCAATCATTTGCTGAAAATGTTTTTGTGAGGAAATTCAAGAGACAAAAATTTCTTAAAGTTCCCTCTAATGATTGCTCATCTGTGCAATGAAATTGCAAAAGGAAGAAAAGGAAAGACAGTTCATATGAAGCAGTCACATCAATTGAGAAAGTGCAATAAGGGTGGAAGTCTTAAGGAACTGTCCTTGTCAATGACATGTACAAATACAACTGCAGCAAAATGTACCAACCTTCTGAGCTTAGAACATTCACAGACATATGATAAATTTGTGGATTCGGCACTCAGAGGTTTAAATGCACATGCATAAGAGAACCCAAAGCATTTTGAAAATCAATCATGATCATTTGTAAGCACAGAAAGCTTCCCCAAAGCACAAAAGTGATGAAACTGACAAAGCTCAGAGACGATTTGCATTGTGGCAGCTGTGAATAATATACGATATAATTCTGTTCACAGTCTAGCTACGATCGTACAGCACAGCCTAATTGTGGTAATGACATAATCAGTCCCCTAACAAAGTGCGAACACAGCAGAAAACTTGAACTAGATCAGTACATTGACCGGGCCCAACCTTGTAGTGGTATCAGCTTGTCATATTGTCACTCCCTGATGAAAAAATGGATATCCGAGGCCAACACAAACAAATTTCAACGGATTCATTTTCTTCAGAAGTAACACGCCGTTCATTTCCTGCGAAATTTAACTGCCGGAGCAGCATTATTTTGACGAAGAAATCCTGTCAGCATGATTCACATTGAACACAGAAAAAGTGATATGGAGTTAGTAGTTTCCTCAATGAGCCAGCCAAGTAAGTTTATACAGTGTTCCCGAAAATCGTATGTCCTATTGTTGATCTGGTTATACTTGTATTCCGCCTTTAATACTTTAGTGTAACGTGATTCAGAGACACAAATGGAGACTTATCGGTGCTTCTTTTATGTGTGTGTCTCTTGCATCACTGTGTTGTCATACTTAGAAAAAGTACTAACAGTATCGCCTTGTTTGTGCTATGGTACACTGATATTGCGTTTCCAGAATAATTTTGATCGTGTGGGGTTTTGTGGTGTGCCCCTAAAGGTAAGCATGCAAGCACTTCTGTATTTCGCCCTCAATGAAATGTAACCACCTCGATTTTGAACTAGGCAGTAAAAAATACTTGCAGACGGATCGGCAACTAAATACGATGGAACCATAGGCTTTCTATTGCTGGAAATTCGATATTGCCTACTCTTTGGTTATTTTAATGAACTTGATGCAGCTATAATTATTTCAGATAAACACTTCACTTTTTGTTTTTGCACACTACGCAGTTGCCTGCTGACAATATGTGCACTCTTTGATTTAGCTGTAGGAATGCAAATGCACTGTAACTGCATACATTCACAACTGGCACACATTAGGCCCTAGACAGAGTTAATTCCAGTCAGGATGTCTGCAACTTTGAATCGGTTGGATAGGATTGCACTGTGCAAGTGTTCAGTAAAACTGTCAGAAGTCGTGTACGCAAACTTGTGCAAGTCGTACTGCATTGTTTCGCTTATATATATTATAACCACTGTCAGCTATAGGATGAAGTAACTACAAGATGCGAGGCTCGTTTCTGCCACTCACAAATAGGATGCTCACTAACATCTAGCACAAACTAGAGGTATTACTTTCCCTTGACGTATTCATGCATTTAAAGGTGCCCATTGCACTAAACAAGTGACACAGATTCGGCGCAGCATTCTATAGTGTTTGCCGTCGTATTTACACACTATATACATTTGCTCCACAGGAAACCAGTAACGAAGCATACAAAAGTCCAGTAATTATGCGTTTCACCGCTGAACATGAGTCTGACATATTATCCAAATTATCACATGGGTTATCCATAACACAGTTTGAGCAATGTAGTGTAGTGTTGCATTGTCGGTTTCACTATGCAGGGAACTGGAACAGTGCGGGGTAATCGTATTGCTAACAAAAAGTTGATGAGTAAGTCAGCAGCGATGCACATCACCTATGAATGTAATAGTGTTGGAATCTTAAGTCATTTCTTTTTGTTTACTGACATTGTGTTCCAGTTACAGAACAAAAAGTTATCGCTTACTGTGTGATTAATGTCATTGTTCGTAATGGGTGGCTGTACCTAATTCAAGGAATGGCAGATGAATTCAGCATATCAGGCTGTTTAGACTAGGTTCTGACATCCGGCATCATGACAATTTAAAAAGATATGTAAACAAGAACGACACCTTCAGTGAGGATTTGAACACTTCCATGAACTTCCAGGAAAATGTGAAAATCAATTTTAATTTTACAGAAGAAAAAATTAGAAGAAATAACGTCATGGCGCATTCAGATCTTCAATGCCAGGCCAAACTTTTGCTTACGAGTGGAATGATACTCTCGACCCTCTTTTCCAACCACCTTCCCAAGACAAACTGAACATGATGCTCTTGCAAGTATAACAGTTTCTCAGTTCCTTCTTTCTTCACTGCTTCAGAGCCAAGCGATGCCAGGCATCGCATTACACTGCAATCACCACACCTTGTGCTATCCACCGCAAGCACGTATAGTGTGCCATCATAACAAAACGATCTATTCCATCAATTCTGCGCTATCACATTCACAGTTGGAAGTTCGGAGCGATTCACAACTAGCCATTATCACGAAAAACGAGACCACTTGAAACATTGTGGTAGTGTTGTTCTTTGTTACCGGTACATTCACAGTTTCACTAGAACCGTAATCACATGATGATTGGGCAGGAGTAAATCTATTTGCTCTTTCGTCCCATACATGACCGTTTTCGTGCCGTATTCCTATTACCTTCTTTAATGCTGCCAGGAATTGGTTTCTCTCGCATTCATGGAAGACAAACATTGTTTTCAAAGTTGTGGCACTCAACAATATTGTGAATGGCAGCTAACAAAATGTTTAGCTTTGAAGAGGCAGGTTCGCACACCACAATTACTTCTGCTGCGATTCTCATTTCTCTCCATACTTCATGTGCACCTGCCTCAAATATTTACACAAAGAAACGATTTGTAGCGCATTATCCGTACAGCGCATTGTGCGACTTGTAGCACATTACCAATATCTTATGACGTTAATCAACTGTGCCATTCATGCCACTGCCCTCTGTCATGCCACACTAACTGCGGCAGAAATGACAAGTTTCCTACATCTACACACTAACCACGGGACAGGTTATTCTACAACTGTCAGGTGACAGTCGGTTGACATTGTCTACAGCAGCGAGTGATGTAAACGTCCTTTTTCTCGCTGCAACCTGGGCAGGAGCGGCCCTTACTTGAAGCATGCGTGTGCTGCTTCACTTAAAGGACAGACACTGGCCGCGAATCGGCGTTTTGTATTCCTTGCACGTGTTTGGCGAATCTGAGGTGGGAAAATCAGTATCGTAAAAGAGGATAATGTGGAGAGATTGAGAGAGAGACAGCGTGTTTCTCGCCGAACCAACAGGCAGAGAAACGAGCGCCGTCATGTTTCGCCAAACCGGCAATAGACCCCACGTTTTAACGCCGGGTTGCCGTAAAAACAAGTCAACTGAAGTTCAGATCGAGCATTGGTGGTTGCGACGACAGTGATCAGGACTTTTCTTGAAGCAGCACTCGCACTATGTTGGCGGGCGGCTCCAAGGCGAGGCTCTCGTCCGAAGTGGGGCTGCCCTCTTGGACCTTGCGTGGCACGACTTGAGGGGTCACGCCTTTCTTGATGCGCTGCAGAAAGTTACAATAGGCACATGCATCTTGGCACCACACATGATTTCAATAATGCGAAAGCCTCAGATGCCTCATAAAATGTGCAAATCGACCATTGGTGGCTTTTTGTGGCATCAAGGTCCATGCGAGTGATGCATGAACTTTTCATAACAAGATGACATCACCATATGACATCATCATAACATCATTGTGACTTTACATGGTACGACGTCGCATAATGACATTATCGCATGATGTCTGTGCTTTGTTGAAAGTGAGCCCATCAAGGAGGAAGCACAAAACCGGGTGTGATGCAGAAAGCTTGCAATGCCTCCAATCCTAGAGGCAGTATAAAACCATATATTAAGATATTTAGAGCAACCTTGACTCTCACAAGCACTCACACAAACACTCGCACATCTACCCAAATAACACATGCGAAACTCAGCGCTGGCTGTCACATGTGCTACTTGGGAGGATGTGTGAGTGTTTGTGTGAGTGCTTGTGAGAGTCAAGATTGCGCTAAATATCTTACAATATGACGAGTAGCCGCCTAGCCCAACAACAAGTTTTATTGAGTGTAATACCACAGTGGAGAAAACTTTTGAAGGAGGATGAAGAAGGATAAATCCATCAAGCGACAAGAATTGCTTTCAAGTCATCGTTAGCAAATGCATAAGGGACCCTGCAAGTTTTTATATGCAACTGAACCGAATTTTCATTCTCCTTCCTGGTTACCCAAGTGTTTCACAGACTTCTTTCTCGGGTTCTACCAATACACATTTTCTCTTGACTGTTTCACCGCACTTTTCATCGCCACGTCTGCACCACACTTTGTCAGTAGCGTGATAAATTGTGATAGCGGTATCTTAACAGAGGCATATACTACATGCGTGTCTCTATAAAAGATATGACTTCTGATTGGTTGGCAGTTGTTAGGCTCGTATTGTGATTCTGAAATAAAGGCTATATGGATTAATGAGATGAACTGTATTATTAAATTACCCTTGCAGCAAAATCCACTATTGCTTTAAAAAAATAAACACAAAAGAAATACTACAAAAAGTGAAGCACAGGTGGCACTGTCACGTTGAACTTCTCACACCAGCTCACTATGATGTCATTATTATTAAACACTGCCTGTTTTAGTGGAGTTACCTTTTAATTGACAAAGGTATTAATTTATTTGCGTTTTAAGGAAAGTAAATATTGAGCTTAGTTTCGAGGTCATTTACCACATAACAATTACCCAGATATGAAGACAAAATACTTTAGGTAATATGAAAATACATAGGCAAACTGATTATGAGGTTTCTTAGCAGCTTTTGTCATTTATTCGACCTTGCAGCAAAATTAGTAACAATCAAGTTTAAATACAAATACTTTGTAGCTCTAAAATGATTCTTGTTAGTGTTCTGAAAGCCAATAAAACACACTGCAGTGACATCTGAACATAGTATTTCAAATTTATTTAGCAATGAGCATTCAATCACTAATGAAGAATAGGACATGCTCCTGCAAAGTCCAATCTATGAAGAACCAATCCGGGTCGCCCAGTCCGCTCATGATCGAGCTAGACCTGTCAATCCATGTCAGGATAATCCAGGTGCACTTTGGAATGTGTTTTGCTGGACCAAATGTAAGTTAGCTCTCTCACTCATATCACCTGATTTGGTGCAGATCTATATTACACTCACTCACATGGCTATATATAAGCAGAGTTACAAACAGCAAAATATTTGAAAAAATATGTTTACCTCCAGGAGGGTTCCCGAGCTGTTCCAGAGGTAGTAAAAGGCGTAGGTGGGAATCCACATGATGGAGGCAAGGGCCATGCCCCAACCGACCATTTCGCCCCACCAAGGGTAGACGTAGTGATCTGAGTATGTCACCGGCTCAGGCACAGCTATGTAAAACACCAGCATTCCCTGCACAAAAGCAAAAAGGGCTAGAACAATTCCACTCGTGTAACAAGCAATTCGCGATGCCCACAACACAGGTTTACTTACCATGCACTCATATAATTAAACGTGGCATCAAGCTTCCCAAAACGTATGTGTGATACAAACACAAGACCTACCGCCACTGAAACACTCTCCTAATACAGGAACTGAAAGAGCAATGAAGTTAGTACCCAGAATCTCCACCACTTGTCGATGGGGGTTTGTGGACAATCGAGTGGCAGCGGTAAGCGTCACAAGAGCACTTATAAATATGCAAAATGGTGCCCAACTTGTAGCCATGCGATCACAACTACTCTTCCAACCAGCATCTCAATCTTCTTCATTAGACACTTTTAACCTGTTCAACGTTTTAAACAGTCCAGACCGTCTTTAATATGGCATGAACAGATTTTTTTGATAAACGCCAGCTGTTAGCTGTGATTGCACACGGAGATTGAATGTTGCGTATCATGTACAGGTTTTCTTAGTTTGTGTACTACTCATAGATGACAGCATCATACCTTAGAAATATAATAACTGAAAAGGCAGTATAAAGGCAGTGGTTTTCAAGTGGGGCTCCATGAAATTATTTTATGAGGTCTGCAAAACCCATCTTTAAAAAAAAGAACGCGCTTTTCGGAGGCATGTTATGTCCCATGACAATGGCGCCTTCTTATTTTTGGTATGCTTCACCGCATAAATTTTTCGCATTGCGGTGGAGCTGATGTATATTTCCACTTCTTTATCAGACGGTAGCAGAGCTTTTGTTGCAGTTTACTATGACATGTGCACACAAGCATATTTTTTAAGATTACATATTTGAAGATCGAACGTGGCTAGAAACAGGTTGGATGTTGGTGCCGAACGCACAACTTATTGACAATCAGTTTAGCTTGACCCTTCTTTGCCAGGGAGAAACAGAAGACACATACTTCAAGCTTTATGGTGCACTAGTTTCTAATCCCCCCCGCCCCCCGTATACCCTTTTTTTCGCTGCAAGGTGCCCCCATCAGTTCAGCCAATATACGAGAGGTTCCTGAAACATCCACAGTTTAGGTCTGCTGTATTGGGGTGTCAAACAGAACAAATGAATGGACATTAGTTAGTGCATATTCATAACTAACCTAGGTGCAAAAAGCATAATGCAAGAAGATGATGACATGAAGCGATACTCTCAACTATCTGGTATTTTTATTACATCATATCCCTGACAAACATAAGCAGACACACAGATCAAAAAAAGGTAATCGTACAAATTATTTTTAAAAATGATAGGTATCAGAAATTACTATGATCCATTGTGATGCAAGTGCTTTACGAAAATTCTTGTAAAGAGCAGCAGGTTCATTGGGGCATTGAAACGATCCGGGATATCGATGCTTTAAGATTATCAGAAACATTTTTATAACATCACTCAGAGAGCTATGTGTTAGAATTCTTTATTTGCATGTTTTACATACTTGCTCAAGAATCTACTTACCACAATCACACAGGGAGCGGCGAAAAGCCAGCAGAAGAAGAAGTACTTGTTTGGCGTGAAGCCTACCATGTCCTTGATGTTGGCGTAGATCCTTTTTGCACCTGCAGTGGAGTTGGTGAAGGTAGTGTAAGTGAATTGAGGTCACACTAAACTATAAATTAAGATGACAGCATGCTCTATCCCTTAACTACTGCTGGTACTGTGCATACCATATATCCAGGCAAAGCCGACAATCTCAAAGAAGACGACCGTCAGCAACGAGACACCACTGGCTGAGAAAAAGTCCATCAGCTGGAAGATGTACATGCCTCCCTGAAAAGTAGATTACATACTCATGTGGAGCATTTGAATGTAACATTACGAAGTGCTTTAAGAGCTGACTATGGGATGTTTCTGCCTAATTAGACAATGCTAGTCTTGAACTGTGTCACAGAGCCAGTGGAGGCACAAGACGAGCCTTATTGCTGGATCATCACCTAATTAAATGTATAAATGTATTTAATTAATTAATGTCAAATCCTTGGCTGCAGGCTTGTGAGAGGAGTCGGATTTCCAGAACGAAACATCAAGAATGACAATACTAGTTCACATGAGCAAGAATACAATTCCCTGTGAGCTGAAAAGGCACGTCAAAGTGGGCCCAATGCACACACTAGTTAGAACATTAAACATAACATAATACAGGCTTGGGCATGATCGTGAAAGACAAAAGCAAAGCAATATTTATATATACTTATCAGTCGCAAGAGTAAAGTGTGCAAAGCAACACACAAATGCAAAAATTGTACATGTAGTTTAGATTACTCAACATGTCTGACTCCATATGTAGAATATTAGCCCCTATATCTGGACAAAGTTAGGCAGACCTACAAGAATATTGGTTTTAGTGTGGCAGCTTATCTGTAGGACTCTATTAAGAAACACTCTCAAGATCCTGCGTGCATTAGCATTGGCTGGTCTTGTTTCTTCGTTGCTCTTTCAAGCAGGCCTAGAGGGAGCTACATGCACAGAATTGGATTTCACTGTAACGTGTCCGTCAGGTGCCACTGTCCCCTTACCTGAGTTACCAGGGGTAGACCCAGCAGGAACTGCACGACAACAACGCTCAGAGTGAACAGGCGCCGGTACGGTCTCAGCGTGGAAGCAAACTCATCCACCAGCCCTGTCACGAGTGCCTCGACAGTGCAGAACTGGCTGTCGATTCCCAGAACGATGAGCATGAGGAAGAAGAGTACTGCCCAGACCGGTGCAAAGGGTAACTGCACCACCATCTCGGGATAGGCCAAGAACGCCAGGCCAGGACCTGCGTGCAAAGCACAGCAGCGGTTGAAGGCATAAGGTAAATCGTCTACCATGTTCGCGACAGTTTGCAGTAATTGGGAATAACATCAAGCCAGTACTTAAGGTGAGTCACGAGTCCAACGAATCTAATTTGGGGAACTTGTGCTTAAAGAAGCAATTGTGACGCTCTTGGTGTGTAGTGAATATTCAGTGATGAAAATCTAATAAATAAATCCAATGCTTTGGTTGCCTGCGATACTTGTACATACACGTCCACTTTTAAAGGGATCACCTGTGTGCACAGCATGTTTAGATTACGCTACCTTATGGAAGCATAGTAGCTTAGATATGCATAAGACTAGTAGGTGGTTGAAAGTTCTGACTTTTCTCTTGACGGACTAGTGGCGTCCGTGAAGATTGTTTTAGTAACCTCTTACTTTCAGAGAGCCAGCAATATTGATGGCGCACATTTGCGTGTTCCCTTTAACAGTGTACGGTACTGTACATTCCAACATAACCAGTGGTTCTCACGCTTGCAAACACAATGAAATGTGCACCACTGTTTGTATTATAGACTCAATACAAGATGCTGTTGCTACAGCAGGCAGAGTCAGCCATGGCACTTGGGAAAATTTCAGTAACTGTAGATGCACCTTGTACTCAAGGATATTAAACTGATTAAGGTGTTGAACATGTATTAAGCAATAAAGAATGGTTGTAAGTAAAAGATAATGACTTCATGCCTGAATTTTATATTATGTTCTTCATTGAAGCAAGTAATCACGAGTAAATCAATTTAATTACACCTGTAGAGCTGTACAGGTGTAATTGCCTGTACAGAACTTACTGCACTATGCACCATTTTTTATAACACTCCCCTTTTCACAATGCCCATTGTATTGCTTCAGTATATAATTAGTAATCTACTTTTCTGTGTTACACAACCTGTCCACATGCGTTCCAACTTCTTAATGTCAACCAAGGCATCAGTTATATAACTTTATCAACTCTGTCCACTTCTAGTATTTTAATGTTATGTATATACTACTTTATATTTGTTAGCATGCTATACAATATCCTTACATCTTTTTTCAAGCTCATTCATTATTCAGAGGAAGAAACAAGAAGAGAAAAGGCAGGGAGGTTAACCAGATAAGCGTCCGGTTCGCCACCCTGCACTGGCGACAGGATGATGGGGATTAAAGAGAGAAAGAGAAGGAGAGAACTGCATGCACAAAAATGTACAGTCAGTCAGTCAGCCACTGAGGCCGGAAACTTTTCTGACAAACATGACTTCAGTATTCAGACATGCAACAGGGGAAACGCGGCGTTGGAGAGGGTCATGGGCGATCCGTAAGAACTAGTGAAGCGCTGAAAACACTGGATTGTGAACCTCCAGCAGTGTCAGGGCTGTTTGGGCTAATGGAGTATTTATCTTTTTCAAAAGCATAAATATGGTGTTCATGAGAGATCGTAGCATCAAAGGCATGTCCTGGTCTTTTTCAGGCATGGCATGGTTACAGCGCTGTCGTTGACTCGGTCAATGTTGGCTCGGTCTGCTGGGATCGCTCGATTTGCTGTGGATTGCGCTGTTGATTTGACTGTAATAGTGATTCTGGCTATGGTTGTGGCTCTGGCTGCAGCTTTGGTAATGCCGGCCAATTATAAGTGTCCATACGCTCTGGTGGGGTCCTGTCTTAAGAATATGATGCAGACACGTATGGTGTAGAAAGCAAAGGAGGTCGTGTCACCTGTGAACTACGTGTCACAGAGTCCCTTGAACCACTGCGGCGTCGGGAGCGCCGTCGGGAAGCTGACGACAGCAACAGCTTCCCGACGAGACAGACGACCTGTCTTGCACCATCTGCTTATGAATGTCCATTTCATTCTGTATCTTGGGGCAGTCATTTGATGAAGCGTCGTGGGACTTGAGGCAATTGCGGCACTTTAGTTCCATGGGAGCGCAGGAGTTTGTAGCATGTGGTTCGGTGCAATGCGAGCAAATTATCGTGCTCTGACACACGGCGCTCATGTGTCCAAACCTCAAACATTTGCGGCATTGAAGTGGCCTTGGAATAAGCGGTCATGCAGGATACTGAAAGTGGCCCACCTCGACATGCGAGAGCAGAGGTTCTCTCTTGAATGTTAGTTTTATGCAGCGAGATGTGCCCATGCGAGACATAGGTATAATATTGATGCCATCAACCACTGGTTTCACAAGACTGGTCAAGTCTGTGTTCGAAACAAAGATGTCGACATCATAGATGATACCAGTCGTGGTACCAGTGCTCAATGAGATGTACGAGTGAACTTTTATGCCATCGAATTCCGTAATTTTGCTCAGTGTGCACAGTGCAGTCTCGTGTGCAACGTTGATAGCAAGAACATTTTTTCTCAAGTTGAGTCTCACGTCCCTTACTTCATTTGGCACCGCCGCCTCGAGAAGCACCAAGACCAATTGTCTGTTGAATTGCCTTAAGTTATCGGTAGCAAGCTCTGGTACAAAAATAATCTTACTGACTGCGGTCTCTGAGCAATCACGGTAGACTTGCCTGAAGTCAAGGAGGACCCGGAGTTTTTGCACTTTACCTTACATCTTTATACGGGTTGAAAGTTGTCCTCAGACCATTCCTCACTGCTGAGTGAGTAGACACTGGTGTCGTCACTGTCCGCGGTGCTTGAAATGTGTAAGTTATAAAAACTAATAGCGTCGCGCTTTATGCAAGTTAGATTATCGAAGGATGAATGACAGAAGTACGCAATGTGAAAGCTACCTGATCGTGCCACCTCTGACACATCCTTGTCTTGTATGTGGGCCATGTGACCTAGAACTGAGAATATGACCAGGCCAGCAAACAGACTCGTCCCACTGCAGATGGTGCAAACAATCATGGAATCCCTGAAAGCGAGAAACACAGGGATAGCGTCATTTCATGAGGCAATGGCGCCAACGCAGTACACATGCCGCTCGAGAAGGCATTTGAAATGTTTGAATGCACAAGATTCAAAGAGGCTACTGTAACAAGAAAAATTTTATCTGGTCATCTACCTTAAATGTTTCGTTATGACTAACAGCACATGATTATTTATTGCATTCACTAAACCTTGCCCGTCGTGAACTTTGCCAGACATGCTGCTCTAAGCCATCCAAAAAAAAATGCTGGCTTTTACAGTTTTTTATTTTACATTGAGAAGAACAGCAATGGAACATAATTCTTGAAGAGTGACGAAAATAAAGCAAACATTAGTTCACTTCAAAACATTTTCTCCTTGCGTTTCTTTTCCTGCTTCCAGAAGGGGGAGACTAGTAGTAGGTATTTTTCAAAAATATTGATTCATGTAGAAATATTTAATTAAAATGTTGCTATTCAAGCATTCCTAGAAAATGTTTCACCACCTGAATAAGCTTATAAGGTAATTTACAGATCTAAGAAAAAAGCTAAGCAATGGTTTTGTGACAGTGTTGGTATTTTACATTAGTGACACCACAAAATTTTTTAATTGATATGTTGAAAATGTTTGATATGAAACATCAAGCCAATAGCCTAGCTTCATGAATGTGGAGATTACTATGAGGACAATACTATGGCAATGAGCTTATTATTCAGTGAGATCAAGAAGTAAAGATTATGAACCCTTAAAGGGACACTAAAGTCAAATAACAGTTTACGTCAGAGTGAAAGCTCAATCTATAACAACATCTAAAACGACAATATTATTAACAACAGTTCCCTACTTACCGAGAAATAAGGTAAATGCACAAGAACACATGCACTGCAGTAAGACATTCTCAAAATGATCCCGATGACATCAGACGAACTGCCTACAATAATCACAAGTAATTGATCTAGCTGCACTAAATAAAGAAGTTTCAGTGCATCAAGAGATGCAATAAAATGCTACCTATTCATTTGTATTTGATTCATGGAAAAAAAGAACCATCGGACGTTACTATAGGGAATGGCACGATTGGTGCGAAAATTCAATTTTCGCGTAGTTACACTGGACAGGTAGTGCCATCTAGCGAGGTGCAGTTGAACCAAAAAGGGTCTGCTATCTCGGAGCCAATGGCAAGAAATGGATCAATGGCCATTGTTGCTGCTGTGGCTCTCGGTGTTTTCAGTCTGCTGCTACTAGCTCTGTAAAGCTGGGCAACGTTGTACATGGCAACAGTGACATGAGTCGGTCCGGTCGGTTTGCTCCTTGAGGCGGGTAATTTGAAGTGCACTAACCTGATGCAGACCACTAAAACACGACTTTATTTCAGAATAGGTCCTTCCTTGGCACAAAAGTAACACTACGAGTTTTCTGGACCGCTATTTTAAAAACCAACGTCGGCTTAATAGTTGCCTTTAGTGTCCCTTTAAGGACCATGTCTCACCACAAATATGTTCAATAAACCCAGTCACTAAATAAAAATAAAACAATATAAGCCATCTTGAGGCATCATTTCTACAGTACAGCATTAACAAATGAGATCTCGTATTGGTGGCCAGTAATTTAGATCAGATTATTTTACAAAGCTTCACCACCGGCACCAACCTGTAAAAGTTGTGGTTATACTTGTTGTAACTGCCGAGCGCTACGTTGGCACCAATACCAATGCCATACGAGAACAACACCTGCGTCCCAGCCGCAATCCACACCTGCGTGCAAAAATGAAAGGGGGACACTGTGACAAATTGACCTGTCAACGCCTGTCATCCTCTTTTCAGAGTTCATCACACACTGGCAATGAAGGTCGCTCGCATGTTGTCAACACAACGTGTACGTTGTATACATGCATACATAATGCTTACTAACAGTGCGGCCCTTATAATAATAACCAAGTCAAATGGGTGAAACATAGACGCTTTACTGTGTGTGTGTGTTTTTTTTTTTTCATGTGCAATTTACTGAGACAACAACCAGTGACTAATGCAGGAGCCAGGTAAAGCTGCACGATTGAAATGTGGTTTCGATGCTTTTGACGAAGTTTTAGCAAATCATATAGCCTTGACCGAGAACCCAACTCACCGTCAACAATGCCAAGTATAGTGACAGAGCTGCCAACTTTTTTTATTCACCATAAAATGCCGTATTTCAAGATCATCTTTTTAAATATTGTAGTTGTATCAATATTTATTGTTCTTTTACTGCCTTTACTTTATGGAAAAAGTAATTATCAAAGAATGCGAAAAGTACTATATAGCTAACCAATTTTTCATAACTAGATTTATTTGGTGAACTGGACATCTGGACTTAACTTGTGCAACAGTGTCACCAATTTGGCTCATCAATGCAAAACAGTATTCACAGTTTGGTTAGCCAATAAATCATGTAGCGAGCACATGTGACTTACGCATAAAAGCCTACTTTCAATAGATTTTCATTCTCCTTTAACACTATTCTAAACTTTATTTTGACCTGCATTCGCCTTAGAGATATTACATCTATTTTCTTGTTTATTTTCCAATATGAACTGCCTGTTAAAATATTATTTTGTGAATAAACATCAGAACCATTTCAATTTCTGGCTAGGTCATTTTCGCTGCAACAATGTGGAGCTGAGTCTTTCTTTCTTTTCTTTTTTTTTTTCGTAGTATCTCTACAAAACATCTCAAATAAAGCGGAAAGCTGGCACCACCGAATGTAAATTCTGGAAAGGCGCGCCATTCCGGAAAGGCGCGTTGTGAACTCTTAAATGTGCCATGGCGCAGCGAATTGCACTGCCAGTGTTTCGCAGACCGACATTCCTTTCTCTCCCTCTGTACCATCCGGGTCACAAATTGTTGACATGAGTGAACAAGCCAGAGACAAAGGGTGTTGCTGTAAGTCTCAATACCAACAAACTTCATTGTTCATTCAACTCCGTATACTGCGGAACGGTTCCCCTTTCCTCTCCCTCTTTATGCTTTTGTTGGCCATACTGAGGGAGAAGGGGCAATGTCGGTCTGCGACACGCTAACAGTGCCACCTGCAGGGCCGTGGTGCTTTGAGAGTTCACCACAGGCTTATGCACACAAGCAACACTGAATCCATTCTTTCTTTTCATGCACTGCTCGTGTTTCGTGCTTTCTTTCTGTAAGCTAGTGACTCACATCAAGTGCAAAATGACGACTTTTTTTGCCTCTGCACAACACAAATCAAAACTCGTAAGATCATGGCTCACCCTTGGATCTCTGAGCTTGCTCCAGTCGGGACGCAGGTAGTAGAGTAGTCCTTCAGAGGCACCCTCCAGCGTAACTCCACGGATGAACAGGATGAAGAGGATGAGGTATGGGAAAAGGGCGGTGCACCAAATAATCTGAAACGTGCATTGGACTCAAATTACGTTATCAGCCTTATAACATTACCATTGCACTTTTGATTTCTTTCTTGATTTGGGGGGCTCTTTAGATGTACGGTATACTGTAAATGGAAATCTCCTAACTTGACAAGCAGCTTCAATTGAAAAGCAGCATCTCATAAAATTAGTTACAGTATATTTGTATTCTTGTTCGGTGGAGCATTTTTACTGGCTTCTTCAGGCTCTTTTCAACGAGTGTTCATATATATATATATATGTATGTATATATATATATATATATATATATATATATATAATATATATATATATATATATATATATATATATTGTCACGCAGATCATGAATACACAGGACAAAAGTTTGTATAGTCGCAGTATTTGCGAGCCACTGCCTTGAATAGCAGCAAGAATCTTGCACAGCACACCAGCCTCTTGGTCTTTTTATCTTCCACGGCAGGCTCATGCTGTGGAATATGTGTGTGTGTGTGTACATATATATGGGCTTGAAGAACATCAGTGATAACTTGGGATACAATGCAGCAGTATACGGTGGCCGTAGCATTGCCACTGTGCAGTTCAGCCCTCGGCACACACACACATTTACGTCTAGTATTTATAAGATACAGCTAAGCAGCTCTGGCTTCATTAATGCACACGAGCCACCTCATAAGCTCATGGGACATTTCTTTCATGAGAAGTACACTGAACCATGGCTGAACCCTATGGTGTAGCCATGTTAATTTCCAAAGTAGCTACTAAAGCTTCTACAGCTGCACGGTACAACAACAGCCATTGATAATTGCACCTTGGCAGCACTGTAAACTTTCTTTTACATGCGTGCGAAATGATGGACCAGTGCAGATCCCTGCAAGTTTTAATTAATTATTTAATTTACTAATGCAGGTTCATACCTTCCCCACTGCTTCCGATGCCACCAACATTAGATAATGCCCCAATTCTCTGCAAATTCATTCAACCACATGCAACGGAAACCATGACAGAATTGCAAAGAAAATTACAGTGACAACAAAAGTTCTTGAGCGTAGCAGAAAACAGCAGTTGGATTGACCAAGCCATAAAAGCTTTACTAAGTCATTTGTATCCCAGCTCAATCTGGCTCGCTCAAAACTTTCTACTTTCCCCAGTTGATTAACTACTACATAACACTCTGTGTGTTTCAATAAATAACTTTACTGCTTGACAGTGCACCATAAAAGCTTTAACATGAGAGATTAAACTTTAAACTGTCCTAATATTTTAGCCGGCTATTTTGTGTTGACAGTTGCAACAGATCTGTAGCTTATAATTTTCCAGCTTTTACCCTATAAAACACTGCATAATGGGAATTAGGATAAGCATGGAAGAGGGAAATTCTGCCATGGAGGAATGTATATTGTTAAGATATTGGAAATGCAGGATTTAATATGATCTTGCTCTAGACACAGACATGTCAGGATCGATAGCTTCACAAAATAGATAAAAACTGAATTCTCATAGTGATATGAAAAGACGTTTAAAAGAGTGGAAAAAAATTCACATCAGGCCCTCAAGAAGCATGTTTATAGGGGACTTGCCTTCCCACTCTGATGAAGTCCCCTCCAGATGACTATATACACAAGGAACCATGCCAGGAGGAGGTAAAGGGCAAGCTCAGGCCGCAGAGAGCCAACTTCCTCCAAGCCATTGGTGATGCCCAGAACATTGTTCCTGAAGAGAAAAGGTGTTTTTTATTCCACCCTTCCTTTGTGACATGAACAATTAATTCTTCTTTCAACCTGCACATGATTATAACAGCTGGTGGCTTTTCAACATTCCAACAGATCACTGATTTATGGTCAGGCTGCACTTGCTTTGGTTTATGAATGGGTCTTTGGTGAGGTCATACAGACAATCTTTAAAGTGTGTCAGGTACTAATTCAATATATTGTAGCAGATATATGATGCGATAGCTTTTGGTCTTTCAAACAACAATTTTTCTTTTTTGAGGGAGGGACACACAGATGAGGGATTGGCATGGGGTTAATCTTGTTGCTGGTTAATCGGCTGCCCTAGATGTGTTTGGCAAAAAAAGAGGAGAATATAGGTGAGAGAAACAAAAAAAGGACACTCAGTACTGATTTAAGCAATGAGTACTCAGTTATCAGAACTAAGGACAAGATTCAATAATTTAGCATGTGGTGAGCATGTAAACTGGCCTTGGTACCCAGTATTTGCGAAGTTCACGCAATTGAAAGTGTATCACGAAAAGCGAAGATGAAAGTTTGAGGTCAAGGAAAGCATTTGTTTCTGCGAAACGCTCGGCAACAATTAAGGCGCTCGCACGGGGGGGGGGGGCATGGGGGGCGGTTGCCTCTTCTATAGTCATCTAAAAAGGGGGGGGGGCAGGTCCGCCTCACACATTGACCTAATAGGGAGAGAGAAGCTGCGACATGGCTTGCGGGGGAGGGCAAAGTCACCCCCACACTTGGTGCCACCACACGTTGACATAATAGGAAAGGGGGTGCCGCCACTAACCTTCACTCCATCCCTTCCCCTCCTCCCCTGAAGAGAAACCATGTGCACGGCTTGCATATGGCACGGTGCAGAATCGTTGTAGGAAGGAGAAATTGGAGTAAAAAAAAAAAAGCGGGGAAAGGAGTGTGGCAGCTTGGGCTTGTTGGTATGGCATGACGATAGTTATAGCGCAAGAACAAAACGACGACACAGAGACTTTCGTGTCCTTCTTGTCTCTGTGTCGTCGTTTTGTTCTTGCGCTATAACTATCGTCAGGGGAAAGGAGACCGGGTATATCGAGAATATCCTCTCCTTTCCACCCCCTTTCCCTTTAGTTTTACTTCGCCCTACCTCAACAACGCTGTGCAGTGCGTCTGTCGTACCATCAAACCAACGTCAGATGTCAGCATTCACGCCACGTACTGAGCACGTGGGGTTGAACGTGCCGTGGTTGAACGCGATAGCTGCGAGTCCAGCGGAAAGCATGCCGCGTCGCTGCCACTGAAGTCCCCGTGGCAAGCAGCGGTACGCTATCCACATTTATTTTTGTATTGCCGGCGTGGAAGTCAGGTCATCGGAGTTAAAGGGACACACTAAAGGCAACGACGATTTTTCTCTTATTAATGAATAGCTCTTTCACGATACCAAAACGGCCACGCTTGTCGCGAGAACACGCCGAGGAAACGTGCAAAAACGAGATGCATGCGTGGACGACACTATTTTTCTCGCGCTAGCTGCCGTGACGAGTAGATTTTGACCGTGTCCACCATGAAGGTGTCCCCATGGTATATTAGGAAACTCCACTTCCTCCGTGGGAAACTCTATGCGCATGGTGTCCACTAAGGCATACGTCGTTCTTAATGTAGAATCATTAAGTGCATTGTCCTCTGGGGAGGCCATAAACATAACATATCAAGTTTTAAGTAATTCTGTTGATCCAATGCCACGAATGTTTAACTTGCAAATCTGCGACGTGACGCGCGGAGATTTTGGTACGAAATTTAAAAATGAAACCTTGTTCTTGATTTTCTCTTCGATTTCTTTGATGGTGAATTAAGCCACGTTTGTGCCGACAGAGTACAATTGGTCAATCTAAACACATTCACATTATTAATTTTAGCGTTCTTTTAAAGTCTCGAGGCGCGCGCGCCCTCCAGTCCGCGGAAGAACAAATCAACGCTGCTGCTTGTCCGTTGCTATAACGACGCACACGCGAGAAAGAAGAGAAGGAAGATAACATAGTCTGAGGTTCAGTGCCAAAAGCACACGCGAGATCTATTTCTGGATTTGTAGCGGGAGGAGCGGAATCGTCGCTCTAGAACGACTGGGTTCCCAATGGCACTGGCAGTTAACGTCCCCCCCCCCCCCTGCCACTCCTAGCGATAGCTCTTTTCAAAAACGATAGAAATAGGTTCAAATATCTTCTTTTGTGTACATCTATTGTGTAGTCTAACGGTCAGGCATTGATTCAAACTATGCCAGATACCGCTGTAAGATTAGCAAACGTCGTAGTTGAGACGTCGCTGTACTCTGGATTTCCGGTATAGCCTGTCATTTTGACGCCGTAAGAGTGCGCGTCGGTGTGAGGGTGGGAGCTTTTCCCGCTTCTCATTTTGTCAGTCGGACAAGTCCGGCTCAATAAAAGTATGGGACGGACATTATGTCTCCTCCTCTTTTTTTTTTTCAAGGCTACAAGCCAAAAGAACTCATTGCAGCATTTATCAGTTGTTAAAGCGGACGCATCTACATCTGACGAAATAGCACGTCGCACTTATAATTCAGGGTTCTGGTACGTGGTTTCGGGTGACGTAACGGAGTCACCGCGTTGTGGAGGTGAATAAAGAAGGGTGGGTGGGAGGGGGGCTGTCAGTTTTGGTGATAACAGCGGTGTAAGAGCTACAAACAATTAAATGCTTAGCAAGGCCCAAAAACATGTGTTGAGCGGGCACGAGATCCTCTGCGCGTCGAACACTTACTCCCAGTACTCCTTTACGGACGAGACGGCCTGCGCGGCGGTGAGGTTCCGTTCAGCGAGGCTGGAGATGTTTTCGCGGATGCCCAGACAGCGCTCGGTGTTCCACTCGTTGCCGCACTGCTCCCAGGGTAGCGGGCTGCGGAACGAGGCGACCAGGTAGTACAGGGTGTACGCGATGAGCACGATGTAGTAGATGTTGCTCAGACCGATCATTGTCATCGACGCGAACCCGACACCTGCGTTCAAGGAAGAGCGAAAACCGAAGACATTTAACACGCATCGTCTCCACCGCACCATCATTTATGTAGTTCAATGAGGCATGTTTCGCCAGTAAGGCCCGTAACTAAGTAATAGCATATTCGGGTGGTCGTCTGCGAGAGCAGCGAGGTGAATTCAACAGCTTTGAAGCTCTACGATGACAACAAGCAGGCGTGCAATTCGTGTTCCACAATTTTTAGCATCCATTGGCCCGCTTATTTCAATAGTAATGCTTAGCTGCTCTTTTATAAAAGATATATTTTTGGCCGCCTTCACAGCGCCCTCACACAACCTCGTGAATGTACCATTATTAAGTCATGCTCAGTAAGACAGTCTCGCCGGTAAGTTTGGACATGTTGTCAGTGTAAGTTGATTGGATTACAGCGCAACGCTTTCTCGTTGGCTCGGAAAGCCGGGATGACGGAACTGGGCAGCGTGGTGGTGCTCGTTGACACTGACCGAATATGTTAGCAAAAACTCTGTCACAAGTATTAACACTTCGCGGACGTTCTTTGTCGGACGTGGTCAAGTTCCGCCGCATAGCCGATTTCTATAACATCGAAATTTTATCTGACGAGATGGCATATCTATAACAGGATCATTAAAAAAATAGTGCACTTTGTGATTTTTTTGTTTGCGTTTGCGAGAATCACAGTGAAAAAAAAAAACAGTGCACGTTTCGCAGGAGATATAACCAATTGGTAAATGAAGAAAGGGCAATTTAATTTAGATCTGCACGATGCCTGAAGTGCGTACGTTAATGGCACTATAAAATAAGCACGGTAGGTTAAAAAAAAGAAAGTGTAAAAACCAATTGTTTAAAAAAAGATATTTTACTTCGGCTAAAGTGTTCTTACGTGGGTAAAGGAAAAGCGTGTGAAAAAAAGGAACAATTTTTTAGCACTTGCACATTCGTAGTAAATGTGCTGCAGGACCCGCCTTTTTGCTGTAATAGTGCTCGAAGCTCACTAGGCCACATGCTGCTATTAGTTTTTTTTTTCAGGAAAATGTTACAGTGAAACATTCATTCCGCGAAAGGGACTAATGAGACATTCAAGCCTGTGCGTAAAACATTCAAATGCCCAGCACTTGTAAACATCATCCGATCTTCTCCAAGGCCGTAAGGCTTACCGAAAGAATTGACAGAAGGAAGTCAGAAAATGATAATATAACAATACGCGAGATCATTAAAGAAACATAAAGCCATTTATATCACTTTTCACCTAAACTCATAAACACACCGTATATATAAAGGATTTGTTGCGTGAACACCAAGGCACAGAATACGCTGCCGTCCTAGCTTGCCCTCAGGAGCGAACAACGCACATTCAGCAGTAACTTACGAGCTCGCGGTACATTCGTGCATCGCACGAACAATGACGATCGATGGTGGTATAAATATAGCGCATATATGTTGGGCAATGTGTGCGAACAATACAAACGCATGCAACCGGTCAGCGTCCTCGCCTATGAAGCGCTTATTGAAGTGGAGCCTTTGTCTGGATTAACAGCCGTTTCCTGGTTTTTCTGCAGCTGTTTTGCTCTATAAGCCTCATAGTGTACATACATACATACATACATACATACATACATACATACATACATACATACATACATACATACATGCAAACATACATACATACATACATACATACATACATACATACATACATACATACATACATACATAGACAAGTGCGTATGCATGCATGCATGCATGTGTGCGTGCATATATGTGGACATATGTACATATATACATACCTCTACATGCAGTTCACAAGCTTCACAAAAAAGAGTATCAGTCTTTTGATGGCTATCAGCGAAGTGCCCTAATTATAATATTTGAAAGCAACAAATGATGACAGTGTACATGCCTTTGAACATGGGTACCAGGTTCCAGATGCCAACGCCTCCAGTGTTCAAATATTGTCCGATCGACACTTCCATAACAAACAAGGGCACACCGCAGAGGACGATGCTAATGAAAAATGGCACCAGGAAAGCACCTGTAAAACGAAAGACACAGGCACACGCAGGGAACATGGTGGTGTTAGAAATAAGCGCAGATACTCTTGCTCTCATCAAGTCACAAACAGCCCGCATTGCAAGGATGGAAAGCGAACACTTTCCACAATTTTTGACTCGGAGCACTGCGTAGCAAGGAATACGTGACACGTGAGGCAGAAGCATATCACGCACATGGGTGAAAGGTTCGCCTTAAACACTACATGGGAGTTCGTTTTTTTACCATATAGAGTGAGCAAGACACATGGGGTAAGGTATCTTGCTAGGGTACTTTAACCTGGGCACCTTGCCTAAGCTGAAAAGAAAGGTACATGGAAGCTAGGAAAGCTATTGCACATTCTTTCGTCCAGGTTAACCTACCGTGGTAGGGTACCTTAACCATGCGCACTGTTAGGGTACCATGTTTAGAAAGGGGTGTATCCCAGCCAGACGAATACGCCATAACATTTAAGAGTCCTTAATGCTATTGCGCATTCTTCCGCCTCTTTTCAATCGCCACTGTCAATATCTGACTGCTTAACCCATGTAAGTGGTACCAACGAACCTTCCGGAAACGTCCAATACAAAAAAAAATTCAGCAAAAGTGCACGGCGGCAGAAAAACTTCGTCAACACATATCACCCTTTGAGAGAAAAGAAAAAAAAACACATCATGAAGCTTCGTTTTCTATGCGGGACCTTGAAGATGTCCCGCACTCTAATGGCACCCGGGATGGGGTTACCACCGGGTGTGAAAGCAATCAAGTTAGACGCGCTTGACATGCCCCACAACATCTTGCTCGTCTAGATAGCTCTGCAAGGAAACAGCCCGCATGAAAAAAGAATTAATAGAGTGATCAAACGTCGGGCACTGTAGAAAGAAAAAAAACAGTAAAAGTTATTTGAAGTCGCAGTCACATGATAGAAAAAGCGCATGGTATATGGACACAAAAGCATCTCCGGAAATGAGTTTCTCTGTCTTCTTTAAAATTTCACGCAAACTTTAGAATTTTATTACGTCGAAGCATATCAGCCCACGCGCAACCGCCGCCTATGCGATAACCATACAGACAGCCGAATAAGATATTTTGGGGGAAACGTGCCAAACCTAGACATCTATTACAGAGGACGAATGATTGAATATAAGATAATACACGGGCAAAACGATATTTGAGAGATTGCGATATCTGTTCGCTTCGTTTAGAGATTATCAGCTACATTGTAATGCCAGTTGACTTTCTTTCTGTTAACGATGTTGCACAGACCACCCCTTCGACCTATCGCCGGTCCGACTTCTAACGTCATTTCACACTGATGGGTTTTGGGACCATGGTATTATCTGCCCATGACACTATCTGTATAATATATGGCGTTATCTGTCCAGGTACGTCCCCTGCCCCGCCGTGGTGGTCTAGTGGCTAAGGTACTCGGCTGCTGACCCGCAGGTCGCAGGATCAAATCCCGGCTGCGGCGGCTGCATTTCCGATGAAGGCGGAAATGTTGTAGGCCCGTGTGCTCAGATTTGGGTGCACGTTAAAGGACCCCAGGTGGTCGAAATTTGCGGAGCCCTCCACTACGACGTCTTTCATAAGCATATGGTGATTTTGGCCCGTTAAACCCCCGATATCAAATCATCAAGTATGTCCCCTATATAATATGAGGAAAATGACACTTCTTATAATTGATAGATACGTGGGGTTTAAAGTCCCAAAACCACCATATGATTATGAGAGACGCCGTAGTGGAGGGCTACGGAAATTTCGACCACCTGGGGTTCTTTAACGTGTACCCAAATCTGAGCACACGGGCCTACAACATTTCCGCCTCCATCGTAAATGCAGCCGCCGCAGCCGGAATTCGATCCCGCGACCTGCGGGTCAGCAGCCGAGTAACTTAGCCACTAGACCACCGCGGCGGGGCAATGACAATTCTTAACTGTATATGGTATATGTCAGTTTTGAAGTAATATTTTGTTTTAGAAATTGCTGCAAGTATTCACATAAAATTTCACGGGCTCACAAAAGATGCCACTGGTTATCACGTGACACCATTTTTCATGCCTAGATTGCCTATCCTTCATTAGCTCGCCCCCAAACTTTAAAGTGGGTTTACTGAATCATTGTACATTTTCTCTGCAGCCACTGAAAGGAGTTTGGTGATATTCAGTCTTGTTATCGTAGAGACTCATACGTTATAGCTCAACTAAAAAATAGGACATCCTTCATGGAGTATTTGGGGGAAAAATTAAATTACTGCATGCACAAAGTCACAAATGGTGCGTATTGCTGTTTGATTTTTAAAGCTCCACTGTTTTGGAAAAGTCAGCAATTTTTTTAGTTTAGATTGTTTCTAACTTGTTTTAGTTTGTGCATGCAAAGTTTCATTGAAATATATTAAATATTTATTATAGAAAAGATACACTGAAACAAAAATATTTTTAAAAAAAACGCCATTCGAGAAAAACGAAGTTTCATGTGCGCCTAGCGCTTACGCCACAGCACGGCACTCTTTGGCGCGTCATTTAAATCACTTGAAACGGGCGTTAGACGTCGGGCTTCCTCAGGTTTCTTCCTCAATGTGCAGTGAATAATTGGGTGTCCAAATTGCAAATTGAATTTTTTGGTGGGATCCTACCATACCACCTTAGCGCTAAAATGTAACCACATTTATGCGTAAGCAAATAATGATTTTTGTCCCATAAACTTCAGTGTCATCTCATTAATTGCTACATGTAAGGTTACGTGATTAGTGTAGTACTACGCACGCGTTTCTTTTCTGTCACATGACTGCGACAACACACACACACAAACAGTGATAACCACAGCAAACATGAGAATGTACAGGGCCGTCCCATCGGAAGAAAAATGCACCTTGCTAACAATTAAACACTTACATTTACATAATCTTGGAGCGAAAGATGACAGGCTAATCACACGTCAATTTATATCTTCGATAATATACACTCCCTCTTCCACCATTATCATTAAAAGGCAGAAAACGTTGCAGATACGTTGGACTCAACATCGATGAGGCATTGTGCTTCAGAGGGGTCGGCCATGTAAAGGAACTGATAAGCGACATACAATGATTGGTAGCACCTATTTGCTAGCAAATGCCATATATGAAATCTCCATCTTCATTTCTGCACACACACACAAAAAAATCTTAATGTGCGTTTTAAGCTGATCTGCGAGCATTGTTCTTTTGCCACTTATTGCTCATTCAGTGCTACTAATACTTCATTTAGTACGTAAACATACAAAGCAATAGCGACGTCAGAAAAAATAAGACAACATATCAACATCCATCTTTGGCGCTTTTGACGATCCGCGTTGGACTGAATATATTCAGTGCCATTACTTTTTTTTTTAATCTGATCTCCGGGAAAGTAACCTGAAGTACTCCCGCTGAAGCTGGCAACGTTTTTTTAAGCTTATTTCAAATTATGAAAGCTTTCGCATGTCAAGTTTTCAGCGATTATCTTCATCTTAAGAGAACAACAATTTTCCAATTTTCAGGTGAGCTTTATCACAAGATGGCTTCACCGCATATAGGTTATTGCTTAGGTGAAGCAAACTTCCGCTTCTCTCTCATGTTTTGTTTATTCCTGCTCTGGCAAGTTGCATTGCGTGAATTTGAGGTAGACGAAGAACGAGACACACACAGAAAAATATAAGGGCGGAGAGGGGGAGCAAGATCTTACAGCTAGGGGAGGTGTAGCGCCTGAATCTGTGCGGGCGGAATCTCAGCGGAGAAGGCGAGGGTTCTCTCACGATTGGATACCTGTTTTAGCCTTGGCGCGTTCTGCCGAAATTACGACACCACTGAGCTGGGCTTTCGTCCAATCACAATTTCGCCTGTCTAGTTATAGCCTAAGGTCTCGTTTCTTTCTTTTCTTTGTTTTTTGTACGGATCAGCCTACCAAGCGCGTAGCATTCATCGCGTTAGGTAACGTTTGTTGTGGTTTAAATTCTAGTGAGCTCTCTTAACCCCACTGCAACGACAGAGCACACATCGCTACTTGTCAAGTGTGGGCGAGGTATTCCAAGGTTGCCAGTACCGTGGCTCCCACCACAGCTGATTGCCATGAACGTACCTCCAAGTTTTAATGCATGACTGCGTCTAGTTGGAGGCGAGCTTTTGCTTAGCTAAACTACTCCTCCTCTGCAGTTAACGCTGACAGGCCTAGCGTGATAGGCTTGTTATGCAAAAACCAGTAGCTCGTTACGATCCTTTTAGAACACACAATGTACACGAGTTCATAGCAGTGCAAGCTGATAGAAACAACTCTGCAGTAAGATGAATTTATGTATGCGAGCAACCCCGCTGGAATTGAAGAAAAGCGGACTTACTTCCGCCAATAAAATTATACCTGCTTGACCTGGCTTACCAGATTTTTACTCAAAGTCAAATGCAAATAATACTGCCGAATCTGACGTCTCTTAAAGGCTTACGATGGGCACATGTGTTCCCGGACTAAGAAAACCCTCCTCCCTTAAGGTGATACCAGGCATCACCTGGAACACTGTTTCGGAATAAACGCTTATTTCTCTTTCTCTCATAACACTTAATTAGCACACTAAATATGTATGAAGCTTAACAGCACAAAGGGCATAGGCGTTTTTATTACTAAAGCATGGACTTTGTAATGCTCAAGCCATGTCTACACAGTGTGAAAGCAATATATTTAACCAGAAGACTATACTTCACGACTTTATAACTTGTCGCGTAACTTTTGTGAACGACAGGCCAAGCTAGCCAGGCCGACGAGGGTACAACGTATGTGCAAGATTCTCGTAAAAAGGTACCTGTGGACTTAAAATTTGAACCTGCTTCAAATAACGTACATTTGCGAAAAAAGTTAATAAGAAAAAGCCAAGGCAACACAGCTAAATTTATAACTGATCATTTGCCCGAAATTCATTCGGGCAAATTGCTACCTTGATGCTATGGTCTTTATGACTGATCGAAAAACAATTAGGCTTTCTAATAAAGTGTAAAGG